GGGACCCTTGGTACAGTATCCAATTCTCGTCTCTTTCCACTGTGTGTGTGTGTGTGTGTGTGTGTGTGTGTGCATGCGTGTGCGTGCACATGTGTACTGAGGATCAAAGCCAGGGCCTTGGGCATGCTCGCCAAGTGCTACCAACACTGAGATATACCCCAGCCCTACTCTCCTCATTTTTATATAGATAGACCTAGAATTTTTTTCTTTCTTCAGATAGTCTCACTGTGCAGCCCAGGCTGTCATGGAACTCACTATAAAGCCCAGTTGGCCTCCAACTGACAATCCTCCTGCCTCAATGCTAGAATTACAGGTGTGTGCCACCATTCCTGGCTAGATCCAGATCTAAATGAATATCAAATATGACTTTGGTGAGGACAGTTTTTGGATTACATGTATAATCTCAAGATATATATCTTTCTTTTTCCTGGCTAGTACTTTATCTCGTGTCCTATCTGAAGTGACTCCAGGGAGAAATACAATAATCTTAAATTTAATATCCATTTTTCCTGATGCAGGGATTTCAAGTAATTAAACCTACTCTAACCTCAAAGTAAGTGGTTGAGCAGCTGTGTGCCAAAATAATGGCAAAAAGAGCAACAGACTGGTCTATCCCCTTGCAGAGCTACAACTCCTTCTCCATTTTACATCCAGAGATTCTTTATTTCAGTGTTTTTTAAATATGTGAGTTCTTATTTGAGTACCTACCTGATAGTAGAAGCTGGTTGAAAATTATGTCTAAAAATCAGAATCTAGAGCTGGGCATGGTGGTTTGCACTTGTAATCCTAGTACTCGGGAGGCTGAGGCAGGAGGATGGAATTCAAGGCTAGCCTGGGCTGCATAGTGAGACCCTGTCTAGATAGGTGAAGTTTCCCGTCCTTGTAGTACACACAGGTTCTGGGACGCAGTTCCTTTATCATTGAGTACTCAGGGTTGGCTCTATCTTCTTCAGTGTGAGGTAGGCTTTAGATAAACTGGTTAGGGTCTTCAGAGTTCACTGCTTTTCCAGTTCCCTGCTGCTTCCCAGGCAGTCACAATTTAGGCTATAGCTTGAGGAAAATCTAGGTGTGGTTCAGGTTCCCATAAAGACTCCCAGGAGACTGCTGGTGGGGCTGGCCAGGCACTGTCCCTCTGCTTACTGTATACCCTTAGGGTTGTGTTTGGTGTCTGTGAAGAGTGAAGGCAGAATCTTCATTTTTGAGACAGATTACAGGGACTATCTCCCACTGAGTCAACGGGACAGATGTTAAGCATGGTTAAAGCACTGTTAAATACTATGAAACCACCATTAATTATATGCCTTTACTGTAAGCACCCCTTTTAATGTTTATTTTTCCTTTAAGTAAGCTAAGATGTTGGGGACCAGGGTGATTTGACTCTCCGACAGCTGTCCTTCCCTGGTGCCCCAGCTGCTTGAGTGAAAGACCATCAGTCAAGCAATCAGCAGGACTGCCCTCATGCCAGCATTGGCTGCTTCAAACACTCCACGGATACCTTGAGGAAACTACATAGCAACTACAGCTGCTTGCTGCCAAAGCACAAATCTGGTTCCTGAAGGCACTGTCCTAGCCATGTTTCAAACAGTTTGCATTTGGACTTTTTGCCATCACAAGCCTTGGTGAACTCTAGATGACCCTGAAACCATTTCTTCACAGGCCAGAGGGGAAGACCTTCCCTGGTGGTCCAGCACAGATCTTCATTTGCATAAGGGGTGGCTATGATTGGTGCAGGTGTGGTCCTTCATGTGAGGGACTGTGCCATGACTGGTGCAAACCCAGTCATTCATTTGCATGAAAGACCGATATTGGTGCAGACACCCTTGCCACATCCTATTTCTGGCTATAGAAGCATGATGCTCAACTCACTCTGAGTCAGCCTGGAGACATCCTCCCATGCTGCTCCTTGTGTTGCAACATTAGACCCAATAAAAGGCTTCTCTCCAGTGGTCTTTTCTTGCTTATTTGTGTGTTCATCATTAGTAGAGTGGGCTAAGCTAGTGACACAAAGAGAGAAGAGGAGGCAGCTACAGATGCTGCCCTGACAGTGACAGCAGTAACAGTAAACACTAGTGACAAGAGACTAGTGGAAGAGTTCCAGAGAGCCACAAGGGCAAAAATCACAGAGAGCAGAAGTATCAGAGACAAAAAAAAAAGGCTGGTGGAGGGCTCAGGTGCTAAAGTGCCTGCCTAGCAAGTGTGAGAGCCTGAGTTCAAACCCTACTGTTACATGCTGGTGTGAATTTTTGTGGGCCGGTGTCAAGGGTTCTTACCTCCACAGGCCAAAGAACTGGCTTGTGAGGGAGCTGACTGACTCATGAGACAAGGCCAGTACACAAAGTAGGGTATATTAGAGAGAAAGCAAAGGCTACAGCTAGAGCAGTGCAGCAGAGCCCGGAAACCAGTGGCTCCCTGCTCAGGTGAAGGCTGGGGCTTTTTATGGACACTTTAACTCTGGGTTAGGGTACGGATTAGGTGGGTTTTTTCCATTGGCTGTGGGTTTGTGCATGTGGGCTCTCTTCAGTGAGCTGGTCTGTTTGCCCTTATGGGGGGGCAACAACTTTGAAGGCATCCTATCTATCAGCCCCATGGCAGATTTATGAGGCCATGCATCTCCTCCTCAGGGTGCAGGGCTCAGAGTGCTCTCCATGGGGGATGGGATAATGACTCACTCACCTGTCCTTTAGGCTCCTAGACCCAACACTAGTATTGCCAAAAAAAAAAAAAAAAAAAAGTCTGTGAAGAGCCAGAAAAGAGAAATTGTAGGCCCTGCTCACTGGAGGAGTCCAGAGAGCTGCTAAGCCTTAAGGGCCAAGGGTCTCAGGCACCCTAGGCCTGAGAGCTTTAATACTAGCCAGTGTCAAGGGCTGAGGATCCCAGCAACCGAGCTGAGAGCTCCAACACCGGTTGCTGTAGGGCCAAGTGCCCCAGCACCCAAGGCCTGTGTGAGACTGTAACACTACAAGAAACTACCAATGCTCCTAGCTGTTAAGTGCCAGGCCACTGGTGGTTAAAGCCCAGAACAGTAAGCCTTCAGACCAAGGGTCTAGAGCCTTAATTTCCTGGCTTCTAAGCCAGGAACAATAGGCCCCTTGTTCTCCGATCTTGGAACTCTTAAGTTTCTGAAACTGCCAGTCCAGCCCCTAGGCCATGACTACTCAAGGGCCATGGGCTACCAACACTAGAAGAGCTTCTCCACCCCTATGCAGGATTCCCATCCAGACAGAGCCAAAGGACCCTAGCCAGTTGACTGGTAACAATCTAAGGGGTTCTTTGTTTTCCCAAAGTCAACCCAGTATTATTCTCAGTCTATTATCCACAATCTCAAAGTAATAATCTACTCATTCTACATTTATGTAATTAAGGAAGGCTTCCCAAACCAGTCTTTCAGAAAAGAGTGCTGTTCACCTTAACCATCAGTCCCCACCCAGCCCTGAAACAACCAACAAAGTTGAAACAAGAAGTTGTTCCCTTTAGCTTACCCTCCACTTGGGAGCCCATTTTTAGAAAAGCATCTTGATAGTTTTGAACGGGAGTGGTCTTATTTTCTCTGCTGTGTAAGTTGATCATGGATGAATATGGAGGAACAGGAATGGGTGCATGGACCAGCTCTATGATTATATGTATATGAGTCCTCAAGGTTTTTTCTTTTCTTTGTTTATTTATTTTTGGTGGTTCTGGAGTTTCAGGGCCTCATACTTGCTAAGCAGGTGCTTCACCGCTTGAGCTACATGCCCAGTCATCCCCCCCTTTTTAAACATTGATTAAAATAGCCTGCATTAGCAGTCTCATGGCTGAGGGCAAAATTAAGACAAATCTAAAGACTGTCTGCCACCAAAGGTAACCAAAATATTTTCTTGGATTTGACTGGTTAATTCAATCAACAAAACACTTACGCACATGAGTAAAGGGTTAGGGGTCATAAAGTTTAGTAAAATGATGAGCTCTCCTCCCAATGAATGGTGGAGACACTCTTAAAAAAGATAATCCTGCTGGAGGGCAGTGGCTCACGCCTGTAATCCTAGCCACTCAGGCGGCAGAGAGCAGGATTGTAACTGGAAGCCAACCCCAGCAAATAGTTCCAAGAGACCCTATCTTGAAAAAAACCCTTCACAAAAAAGGGCTGGTGGAGTGGCTAAAGGTGTAAGCCGTCAGTTCAAGCCCCAGTACCGCCAGAAAAAAAAAAAATGCAGTTTTTTTTTTTTTTCTCTGATGGGAATAGAATCTAGGGTCCAGGCATTCGAAGCCATCGCTCTACCACTGAGCCACCTCGTGCCCTCCACCAGTCCCCAATTTTGCTATTTAATCAGAGGATTAGGGTGGAGTCTGCAGAACCTCCTCTCATGTCCTAGGTTACTCCAAGAAGAAATGCAGTAATCTTAAATTTAATATCCAGTTTTTCCAGACGCATCGATTTGTTTGAGTGTCTCGCTATGAACTCCAGACTGCCCACTCTCCTACCTGAGCTGAGTGCTGTGATTACAGAAGTGCACCACCACGCTCTTCACCTTGGGTTTTTAGAAGTACTTCCAGTTATAGACTCGCTAAAACAGCCCACGACAGCCCACCCTCCCAGTACTCCGCCTCCAACTCAGAACCCAAGCTTCCGCCTTCCTTTATTGCCCCTCCTCTGAAAATGCTTAAGTCACACCCCTCGTGTTCTGGCGCTAAAACTTGAACCAATAAAATTGGGCTCCAAGGATCACAGGACGAGGGAAAGGAAGCTATCATCCAATGGGAAGCCAGTTATAAAGCGAGCACAAGTCGTTTAGTGGTGTCTTTGGACCAACGAGAAGCAGTTTGCGTGCCACACTTGGCACCAGCCGACCACGCGCAGTTTCCCGAGCCACGTGACCACTGAGCACAGCAGCCGGGCCCCACCGCCTGGCCCGTAGGTAGCGCGATGGGCCGGGCTTCCAATGGCTCGCAGGACTTCTAGTCACGTGCAGTTTTTGCAAGCTCAGCCGCTCGCGGCAGTCACGTGCCAGTGACGTTGGCGCCATGCTGCCCAATGGAAAAAGGGAGCCGAGCTCACAGACCGGGACCTGGTTTACCTCCACGAATGACAGCATGGCGGGGGAGGGACAGCCTATCACGTGCCCGGGGCGGAACGGGGCGGGGCGGGCCGCCGGCGGCGAGGTGAGCCGAGAGAGCGGTGCGCAGGCGCCCTGGAGACCCGGTAGCGGTGGCGGAGGCTGCGGCGGCAGCGGCGAAAGGAGCTGGATCGCTGAACGGAGCGGGAGGCGGCGGCGGCGGCCATGGCGGCAGACGGAGAGCGTTCCCCTTTGCTGTCCGAGCCCATCGACGGCGGCGCCGGTGGCAACGGTTTAGTGGGGCCCGGCGGGAGTGGGGCTGGGCCCGGGGGAGGCCTGACCCCCTCCGCACCACCGTACGGAGCCGGTAAACATGCCCCACCCCAGGGTAAGCCGGGGCGGGTCTGAGGTATTCCCGTGGGTACTCGGAGAGGCCAGGAGGGGGCGGGGCCGGGGGCGGAGGCGGGCCCAAGCGGCAGGTGTGGGACTGTTGCACCTGTGATCGCCCAGGCTTCCTTCCCTCCGCGGTCCCAATCAGAGCCTAGGAACTGGCTGGGGTTCTGAGGAAGCCGAGCCAAGAGCTGCTTAGACGTCTGCCGAGCTTGGTCAGAAGGACTGACGATCCTGAAGAGTTCCCTACCCCCGTGGAGCATCCCTGGGGAGTGTCTGCAAGCAATCCATCCCATCCCTCCTTTTTGTCTGCTTCCTCTTTAGCATTTCCCCCGTTCCCTGAGGGGCATCCAGCGGTGTTGCCTGGAGAAGACCCACCCCCTTACTCACCTTTGACTAGTCCGGACAGTGGGAGTGCTCCCATGATCACCTGCCGAGTCTGCCAGTCGCTCATTAACGTGGAAGGCAAGATGCATCAGCATGTGGTCAAGTGTGGTGTCTGCAATGAAGCCACTGTGAGTTACACGCATCCACAAAGTAGACCTGGTTTCCTGGATCCTGTTTCTGATCTCTTGATTCTAGACCCTGGCTGAGGGCTCTTCGTGAAACTCAGTTTCAGTTCCAGTAGTCTCAACACTCATTTCCTCCAAAGCTTACACTAAAGTTGGTATTCACCATCCCTCACCTTCACACCTCTTCTAGTTACTGAAGTGTAGTTCTCTTGCACATCCCACTATACATGTCTTTCTTTTTCCTGGCTAGTATTTATTTCTGTATCTTCTCAGAAAGCGTTTTTGGAGGGAAATGGAAGGGGTTGACATTCATTAAAGGTTTGCTTGCTGATGTGCCCGTTATTTTCTAGCCAATCAAGAATGCACCCCCAGGAAAAAAGTATGTCCGATGCCCTTGTAACTGTCTCCTTATCTGCAAAGTGACTTCCCAGCGGATTGCCTGCCCTCGGCCCTACTGGTAAGAGGAGTGAGGTGGGGAAAGGCCATAAGTAGAGAAAATTGGAAAGCCAGAAAGGGATGAATGTTTATAATGTGAAGGTGAGTGAAAAGGAGAAAAGGCTATGAAGCATTGTGCCTTAAGAATGTTACAGCCGTCTTCCTCATTTCTCAATAAAAAGATTGAGGTGAAATGTTCTTTAGGGAAAAAAGACCCTTTGGGTCTAGGAGAGTTATCCTGAAGTTGAAGCATTATAGTCCTGAAGTTAAAAATAGTGTTCTTCCTCAGGGATTCTCTGGGATAGGATTGTGGGGTTAGTATCTTACTGAATGGAGTAGAAGTTGATAGGTAGCAAGTGGAGGATGTGAAGGGAGTCAGTGTATGGATTTTTAAAATTAAAAACCTTTTAAACTGGGCACCAGTGGCTCACACCTGTAGTTCTAGCTACTTCAGAGGGTGAGATTGGAAGGATCGTGGGCGAGTTCATAAGAACCTCATCTCCAAAATAACCAGAGCAAAATAGACTGGAGGTGTGGCTCAAGTGATAGGGTACCTGCTTTGGAAATATGAAGGAAGCCCTGAGTTCAAACCCTGGTCCTACCAAAATTGTAAACACAGTCTTTTTCTCCTGTATAGCAAAAGAATCATCAACCTAGGGCCTGTGCATCCAGGACCTCTGAGTCCAGAACCACAGCCAATGGGTGTCAGGGTCATCTGTGGACATTGCAAGAATACTTTTCTGGTAAGGCAGGATATTGGGAAACCCTTGGGGGAGGGGGACTAGAAATAATAATGAATCCTTAAAAGGTCTGTTCCCATCCTCCCCCACCCCAAGGTTTCACTAAGGAGGACTTTCCTTCTACAATTAGTTTTTCTTTCTCCATAGTGGACGGAGTTCACTGACCGAACCTTGGCACGTTGCCCTCACTGCAGGAAAGTGTAAGTGGTTAAGGAGTGTGCTGGTAATTGGGTGATATGTAGAGTAAAAACTATTGCAAGTATCAATTTGTCTCCCCATAGGTCATCTATTGGGCGCAGGTATCCACGGAAGAGATGTGTCTGCTGTTTTTTGCTTGGCTTACTCTTGGCAGTCACTGCCACTGGCCTTGCTGTGAGTAACCTTGACCAGCCTGTTTCACTTATTGGCCTCAACATAGGATAAGATTTGGAAAATTGATACCCTAAAAAACAAGGGGAAAGAACCAGGCCTGGGGGTGCAGATCCGTAATCCCAGCACTTGGAAAGCGGGCCTGGTGGTGTATATCTCTAATCTCAGCACTTGGAAAGCTAAAGTGAGGATCACCAGTTGGAAGCCAGCCTTGTCCGCATATGAAATGCTGCCTCAAAGTACTCCCCCCGCCCCCCCAAAAAAAAGGTGAAACTGGGGTGGGAGGATTGTTTTAAGAAATTGTTTTGAGTCAAAACTGAAGGTGATTGATGAACAGTTTTTAACTGTTTCTAAGAGTAAACAATAGCTGTGTTCTTTGTAGAGATTAGGACAATGGAAAAGTGGCTTAAATTAATTGCTGTAAGGAAGCCTGGGTCGGTTGTCAGGCACTGAGAAATTCTGACAGATGTCTGGGGTGATACATGAGTATTTTCCTGCTTGGGGGTAGCAGAACTGAACCACCTGATCTTTTGAAAGGTTCCTGACAGTGGTTACTTACCTGTAGGGAACAGACACTAGAGTATGTGATACTGTACCTGGGGCTTCCAAAAGTAGTCAGACACCAACAGTAACACTTCTTTTTCTTCCTCATTTATCAGTTTGGGACATGGAAGCACGCACGGCGATACGGAGGTATCTATGCAGCCTGGGCATTTGTCATCCTGTTGGCTGTGCTGTGTTTGGGCCGGGCCCTGTACTGGGCCTGTATGAAGGTCAGCCACCCTGTCCAGAACTTCTGAGCCCCATGATGATCACAGACTGTGCCTGGCCCCTCCCTGGTGAGGGACAGTGACACTACAAAGGGAGCTGGGGTAAAAGGCTCCCAGGTCTTCTATAAGGAAGCCAAGCAGCTGCCTTCCTTTTTCCTGGGAGAGGTAGGAAGGAACCAGGCCCTCACGCTTGGAGGGGTAGATAAGACTGCTGCTGGCTGTCTTGTTTTCCTCCTGGGGTTGCTGTGTTTAGGGTGTAGTAGGTGAAACATTGCCCCTGAACTTGGGTCCTATAGATGGTTCTTCCTATGTGCTCCCTGTGAAGCATTCCTGTCCCTTACACATTCCAGGGCAGGGTGGGGGTGGGTAGCCTTGGGGGGGTTCCCCTCCCTCTTGTGCACCTTTAAGACCTTGCTGCTGCTATTGCACTTCACCAGGGGCTGGCTCGGGCCTCAGTACCCTCATACTCTTCTCCCCACATTCCGTGTCCTGTGGGGGTGGGGTCAGCTGCTGCTCTATACAGAACCACAGGAACTGATGTGTATATAACTATTTAATGTGGGGTATGTTCCCCAGTCCTCTATTTCCCTTAAGTCCTCCTCCCAAGCTTCCTGACCTCCCAGTTGCAATACTGAACTGGGTTGGGTAGGGTTGCTGTCTTCGAGGAGGTTAGGGATTCATCCTGTGCTTGTAAATAAATAAGGTCATGACTCTATAACTTTTTCCAGTTGTTAACCTCTATGTATGAAAAGGTGAGGAAGGACATTTGTAGCCTCACAAAGGGGTAAAACACAAAAGACAGCAAACTGAAACTATGGCCTTTTATTTTTTACATAGATCGTTCAAAGGGAGCCAGTAGCTTTTAATGTTTTAAAAAAATAAGGGAGGGAGGCACCCACAAAACAAAAATCTTGGGCTTAAGAGTCACAGAAGTCTGGTTGAAGGAAGGATCTGTATTCTTATAGGAGAGAAACTGGATTTCTCTAGAAAGCTATTAAGGAATACTTGTGTTTGTGCTGACGGGGGAAGCTATTTCCCAGGCTCAGTGATTCACAGTGCTAGGTATAGGGTGATGGGACAGTGATCACTGCCAAGGGCCCTGGAACGGATCTTGCTATCACACAATGCAGGTAAAAGAGAGTGAGACAACAAAAAGTAATCAAGACGCCAGCCAACGTTCTTGGACCGGGCATTCATCATGTAAGTCCAAAAAGTGTAAGCATAGGCAGTGTTGGGGTAGAGGTGCCGGAAGCTGTCGGCCAATGGTACAGCCTGCAGCAATTCCCCAAAACCTTGACGCTCTTGTGGAGTGAAGCCAGCATTCTTTTTGTTTCCCTTGGGGTTACGAAGGTCGATTTCTTCATGAGCCACGTTGAGGTCCCCACATAGCACAAGAGGCTTGTGGGAAGCCAAGCCCTTCAAAATTTGCGAAAGGCTTCATCCCAGCGCTGCCGGTATTCCAGTCTTACCAGACCGCGGCCTGCATTAGGTACATAGGCTGTCACCAGCACAAACGTATCAAATTCAGCCACAATTACCCGGCCTTCCTGATCATGTTCCTCCTCACCTACAGAAATGATTGAAACAGAATCAGCATTAACAAAAAATAAGGCAAGCAGACATCAAAGGAGTAACGCACTGAGGCAGGTCTGGGGTATTCAGGAATCAACAGGGCCTCACCAATGCCATAAGAGACTTTGAGTGGGCACTGGCGGGAAAGCAGACCCACACCACTGTATCCTTCCTTGTCTGATGGTGCTGACCAGTACTGATGAGATAGTCCAGACAGTTCTTGAAGTTCAGCTGGTAACTTGTTCTCTGAACATTTGGTCTCTTGAAGGCACAGGATATCTGGGGCTTCTTCTTTCACCCACTGTAAGTTAAAAGAAAGGTGGAAAAAGGATTTTCAATTCAGCAGACACTGAACAATCTGTGTGCTAACCAGCTATACACAGTCCCTGTGGAACAGTCAAGCAGCACAATATTTAAAGAATTAACCACTTGATGTATTTCATGCCTGTAATCCCAGCTACTTGGGGAGACATTAGGCTGGCTAGTTTGAAGCCAGACTGGGCAAAGTTAGGGAGCCCCTATCACAAAAAAAAATAACAGGGCTGGGTGCGTGGCTCAAGTACCAAAGAACTTGCTGTGCCAGGCCTCAGTTTTAAATCCCAGTACTGCAAAAATAAATACATAAAAATTAAGTGACCAAAAAAGAAGGGAAGTTTCTTAAAGTCTCCCAATGCTGTACTAAGGAGATTATGGCTTTTTTGGGTTTTTGTTTTGGTGGGACTGGGGTTTGAACTCAGAGTGCTTTACCACTTGGGCCACACCTGCAGCCTATTTTGCTCTAGTTATTTTGAAGATGGGGGTCTCAGAAAGGACATGTCTGGGCTGGCCTCAGCCTGAGATCCTCCCAATTTCACCCTCCCCAAGTATAGCTAGGATTACAGGCGTGAGCCACCTGCGCCCTGCTGTGGTTTTTTTCTAGAGGTGGTGGCTAGCCAGCTAAGATTTTTAAGCAGTGGTTATTGGGATGCAGAATATGCTAAAGATAAAATGGAGTCCAGTAAAGAGGATTTTCCAACTTCTAAAAAGAAAAGGATATGAAACAAAACAATGGCAACAGAACTGAATGAATGGACATTTAGGCAAGAGTTGGTGAAGCTCCCTCCTACCTCTCCCCAAGAAAACTCCGGGAAAGAGAAAAAATACCCTGGGGACAGAAATGAGACAAGGTGATTCATCTCCAAAATCACTGTACTGCTACAGGCTGTTTTCTCTGAGTTCCACTCACATCTAAACCTTTCTTCTTAATCCAGGCTCGAAGCCCATCCACATTCCAAGAGCAGATCTTGAGTGTGGCGGATTTGCCACTGGGTGAGGTTTTCTGATCCGGAGGGTCCTCGTACAGCACCGGGCCCTCTCCTGCTGCCTCTTTTTCGTTTTTCTTTGCTCCTCCCTTACTCTTTTTGGCCTCTGGCTCTATAAAATGAGTAACAGATAACGATGAAAGTCGGTGGTTTACAACCTAGTTAACTATAGACCCAGGAAGAACCTTAGGTACCCCGACTTCTCAACAAACTCCTGCAGCAATATGACCATATTTACTGCTCATCGAAGAATTACAAACACCTACACCGCAGCTTGTAGGGACAGGAGCTCATTTCGTACTCTTACCTGTCTTGTGTTCTTCCGCATCTTCGGCCACCGTTCCCTTTTTCCCACGTTTTGGCATCCCTGTAACGAATGCTCTTCGGCACCTGTACCACGTTGCCCACCGAAGCACTATTTTTACCACGTTGCCTATAGACAGCAAAGAAACAGCAAAATCAACACCGGGGCAAAAACTCCTCCCTCGGGTGTGTCCGTCCTGTTCCTCCCCACCCCCCCAATCAGGTCCCGCCTTTCAAACCATCTCTGAATTCTTTCCCCGCCTTCGCGCGCCATAGTCCTTCGGCCCCTCACCCACGTTAAGTCATTTCACAGTGCCTGTGCCCTCCTCGCAAGATTTGCCCTCCTGCCCACTGGGGACCTTAATTACTGTCCCCACTCAAGCTTACTGGTCAGACTGCTGACAAAAACCCCTAGGAGAAGCAGAATAACAACTCTGAGTCTGACCTGGTTGGATCCTAACTCGCCTCCTCCTCACCAAGCACAAAGAATGGAGCACACTGCGCCCCACGTGGGTAGCTGTCGTGGTCACGTGGGTAAGTCGTGCAGGCGATTGGCTGACCTGGTACACGTGATGGAGAATCGCCCTCCCTTCTCTCGCTGTGAGGCGACCGAAGGGCCCAAGGCTCCATTTTGGAGCTGTTTGTCATTGCGCCTGACTCACGGCTCATTTTGCACCCCAGCTGGAGATGCTGACGCTGTGCAAGAGGAAGGAAATCAGAAGACAAGGCCCGGCCGGACCACAGGAGAGACACAGCGGGGCGAATAGGAACGTGAGGCGCAGAGGTCGCGCCAGCGTCCCTGGCAGTTAGGAAGACAGGTCGTCGATGGGGCCTTGGCCGCCGTGCGGACGGCGCGGGCGCTCCAACCCGTACTTGGGTGCAGGTCGGGATGCCGTCGGTCTTCTGTGCCGGCAGGTGCGGCCCCTTCCTCTGGGCCCTGGCCACCGATTAGAGCCGGGTTACGAGGAGCCCCACCAGTGTCCTCTCTCCAGCGTCACCATGCCGGCGATATTGGGTTTTGAAGGCAGCGCCAACAAGATTGGCGTGGGAGTGGTGCGGGATGGCAAAGTGCTGGCGAACCCGCGGCGAACTTACGTCACGCCCCCGGGCACGGGTGAGTGCGCGCGGGACCTGGAGTTGCGGCGGGTTCCCGGCACGCCATTGTATTCCAGCTCCCTGAACACTGGTGAAGGGGGCCTCGGACGTGTCGTCCCCTTTACAGATTTTATTTATTTTTGCGACAAGGCCTCGCTGTGTAGCCTAGGCTGGCGTCGCAGTCTTCCTACTGCAGCCTCCGCAATGACCCCTTAGAGCTTTTCAGCCGAGTCTGATGTTATTACGGGACAAGCAGTGTCACCAGGCTTATGACTAGAAGAGTCACAGGCACTTGGATCTGGATCTTAAGGTTCCGTTCAAGTTTTGGTGAGCGCCTTTTATTTGGCGGACATTTGAAAGTAGACGGGGCCCGCCGTGTAGTCAGGCGCAACAGATTTTTACGCTACAGCCTGATAAATGGGTACACTAGAGATGGAATAAAAATACTCTAGAACGAGGAGAGGGAAAAGAACAGGAGAACAGAAGGACTCCTACCTTGGTGTCAGGCAGGACTGTATTTGCAATGTTCCAGTGTTCAGTAATGACTTGGACATTTGTTCCTTACTCTCATATTGGATCTACTACTGCTTGTATCACTGGGTCTTGAGGACTAAATGAAAGGACTAGACACGGTACAACTTTTAATATTATTTGCAAGTTACTATATCTTGCTTATCCTTCTCCAAAGCACCACCCACATAGGAGAGGACAGCTGAACTGTGTACCTGGAAAGTCTCCCTGAACAGGTGATGTGACAGGTTGTTCACTAGAAGTATATATTTGTGTTTAGCATTCACTCTTGGCACTTGGGTATTGGGAATACAAAGATCAATAACATCCAATTCTGTGGGCTACTTGTGCAAAACTGGGGAAACTACAATGCTATTATAATTGTTATGTGTTAAATACAACAATATAATCATATGTAGAATTCTGTAGGGCCACAGGGAAAGTCACCAAAGACTATGAGGTAGGTACTATTTGAATTGAGTCCTGAGGCTGAGTAGGAATTGGATATGAAGGTCATTTCTGTACACTAAATACTCTTTATAGAGGTTGGAAAGAGAGTATCTGAATACTGTATTTTAGTATATTACTAAAACCCCTGTTTTGGGATTTTATTTCTACCCACCCTTGCTACAGAAAAGCCTTAGGATCTTTGATCTGTGTCCATTTCCTAGGATTCCTTCCAGGTGATACTGCCAGGCACCACCGAGCTGTTATCCTAGACCTGCTGCAGGAGGCACTAACAGAAGCTGGATTAACCCCCCAGGATATTGATTGCATTGCTTTCACCAAAGGTATGGCTGTAGTCCTGTCACCTCCACCTCTGTCACCACCACTCTTCCTTCACACTCTCAAATCTTTCCCTCTCCTGTTTTGTTTTTGTTTGGTTTTTTTTTTTCTCACTTCTAGGATTCTAACTTCCATTTGTACCCTCCTAGGTCCTGGCATGGGTGCTCCTTTGGTTTCTGTAGCTGTTGTCGCCCGTACTGTGGCCCAGCTGTGGAACAAGCCATTGCTAGGTGTGAACCACTGTATAGGACACATTGAAATGGGCCGCCTCATCACTGGAGCCACTAGCCCAACTGTATTGTATGTCAGTGGAGGAAATACTCAGGTACTTATTCTACCTATTCCATCTTCATTTCTGAGGCATACAGCTAGCAAGTTCCTTCTTCTAATTCTCTTCCCTGTTCCCCTCCCCACAAGCTGTCCTCAACATCAGGATCCTCCTGCCTTAGCCTCCTAAGTGAGTTAGATGAGTTTCATATATGTGATTATAAAGATTAGGGATTTCTAATTTAAAAACAAAGAATGTATAAGGATCGAAGCCTTCGATTTTGAGACTTATGTTTAAAATAAATCTTAGCAATTAAAATTAAAGGCCACTACCCAGTTTCTTTAAGATAATTACCTGTATTCCTTTATGTTGCTAGCAATAAATATATAGACTTTGTTATCCTAAGAGACTAAAAATATAAAGAACTTTTAAAAGAAATATTTCATAAATGGTAGATGATATTTTAAATTTATAGGTAAAGCTAAGATATTCGGGATGCTTTATATGACCTTTTAAGGTTGGTATTGGATTCCATTCTTACAGAACACCTGATGGGGTTACTGTTGGAAATCATTCATTCAGTATTGTCTCCAGTTTATGAGAGGGTTGTGTCGTAAAATTCCATTTTGTCAAGCAGTTACTAAAGACAGAGCACACGTTCTCATGAACAGTATTAGAAACATTAATTAGTAGATGGCAAGTAGCTGGTTAAAGCCTGAAAGACTGAATTAGAGTCTTGGGTGGAAAATAGCAGCAAGAGTAGATAAAGAGGGGCAGTGGTAGAGTTTTTCTTGGTCCTTTTGAGGTTTTCTTAGGTGTGCAAAACAGAGGTGAAGATTGGTTGGAGAGTCAATAACAGAAGGAGAAATGTAAGATTTTTTTCCCTCCTATTTTGTCACAAGCTTTTCAACCTTGGATCTGCATCAAAGGAAGGAAATCCCTAGCAGTATTGGGAAGGGAAAAGCTTACTGTGGTTGCTAGGAATCTCAGTGTCAGTGTGGAGCATACATGTTAGTAGGTAATAAATATTCTCTTTGATAAAATTTGTCTACAAATGAACAGGGCATAAGCAGATTGCCATTGCTGTGTTGGGTAGGCATTAGTCTAACTTTATAAGAGATTCTTGTGTTCTTCAACTCTGCCTCTTTTGTTTCTGAATGCCACTGTACTAGGAGGATAACTATCAGGACTCCGCCTGTTCCCTAGTCCACACTGTCAAGACTGCTTTTGGAGCTCTAAACTAGAAAATGTGAAACAGTGGTCTTCATCTATTCTTTTATGCACTAAATTCTGTAGATTAAGAATCTGCTCTGGAATCCTCAGGATATTTGTACTTCTCAGATAAGAGCTGTATATATATATATATATATATATATAATTACTTATTCAGGGTTTGAGAAAGCACTTTTTTTTTTTTTTAAGTTAGGGTCTTGCTATATAGCCCAAGCTGGCCTGAAACAGGTTAGGTATCCCAGACTGGCCTCAAACTCAAGATCTTCCCACCTCTGCCTCCTGAGTAGCTGGGATTGTGGGTGTGCACCACCAGGATAGGCACTTTTTTCTGTTTAATTGGAGTGCCTCGTGGCCATGTCAACATTGCTACTTTCTTCCCCAAAGCCAAATACTCCTCTTTGCAGACTTGAGGTTTCATGGACATCCTCATCGTCCTTAGGTGATTGCCTACTCAGAACATCGTTACCGCATCTTTGGGGAAACCATTGATATTGCTGTGGGTAATTGTCTGGATCGTTTTGCTCGAGTGCTGAAGGTAAGCCATCGAGGCTGCAGAGAACATAAGCTGTGGGTGAATTTCTGGGGAGCAATAGAAATGGAGGGTAGAAGTAGTAAATAGCTTCTTATAGCTGACTTCATCCTTTTCCATTTACTTTTTGTTTTTGAGGCAGAGTCTTTCCATACTGTCCAGACTGGCCTTGAACTTGCAAGGTAGGCCAGGCTGGCCTTGAACTCAGGATCCTCCTCCCTCCACCCCCTGAGTACTGGGATTATACTACCACATCTAGCTTTTTTTTTTTTATCATGGGTGAATAACTAAGCATTTATGTGTCTTATGTATATGTGTCTGTTGTTACTTGTCACAAATGTGTGTATGTAAGTGTAATATGTGTATGTGTATATATGCATATATGTTTTTTTTTTTCTTTTTGGTGCTGGGGGTCAAACCCAGAACATTGTGCATGCTAGGCAAGTGCTCTACCTACCACTGAGCTTCATCTCTGACCCACAAACATGCATTGTGCACAGTTCCATGTGTATTTAGTACATAATTAAAACATTAGGGTATATTAATTATAGAAAGTCATGGGTCTCATTTTGATATTTTCAAACACATGTATAATGTACTTTGACCAATTGCTTCTAGGCCTTTTGGCTAAGATCAAGTATAATGTACTTTGATCATATTCACCCCCACCCCCTGAATATGTACTGATTGCTTTTCTTCACTTTGCAGTGGTGAAGTACCCTACAATGATGAGTGCATCCACATATATAAAAGAATATATTTTTGAATTGTACATTATGCATATTTGCATGGTTATCTACTTCTTTCTTCTGCTAGATTTCCAATGACCCAAGTCCGGGCTACAACATTGAACAGATGGCAAAGCGGTAAGATGGTATGGTGCTGGCTGGAGGGGCTTTGGAGTGTGAACAGCCAGCTGACTATAGGCTTAGTGTCTTTACTCATTCCTACATAGAGGCAAGAAACTAGTGGAGCTGCCATACACTGTAAAGGGAATGGATGTCTCGTTCTCAGGCATTTTGTCTTTCATTGAGGTGAGTGTGGGGAGAGGTAAAGTTTTTTGTTTCTTGTTTTTTAGGGGGCTTTCTTTTTTGCAGTACTAGGGTTTGAATTCAAGGCTTCTTGTTTGCTAAGTAGCAACTCTACCACAGGAGCCATGCCCTTTCTGCTTTAGTTATTTTGGGGATGGGGTTTTAAGTTTATTCCTGAGCCAGCTTGGACTGTGATCCTCCAATTTTATACTTTCTGCATAGCTGGGATGACAGATGACTCCCAGTTATTGATTGAAATGGATCTTGCTAACTTTTTGCCTGGGCTGGCCTCTAACTATGATCCTCCCAATCTCTGCCTTCCCAGTAACTAGGATTATGGGTATGAGCCACTGCCCCACTACTTTCATGCTTTTTTAATGGTACATATCTATTTTGCTCACCATTGTCTTTCCTGCATATAGTACTGTCCCTATCAGATGTATTCATTTAGCAAATGTTTTTGTGTCTCAGGATACAGTGTGGAGCAAAACAAGAGTCCCTGCCTAAGTGGAGTTTAGATTCTAATAAGAGGAAGGAAAACATAAATAAGAAGAGGAAAAAAAACAAAGTGTAATGTGTCAGTAATAAGTGCTGTGGAGAAAACTTAGGCAGAGAAAGTATGGGTGAGAGATGCCAAAACAGACATTGAAGGAAATAATTACTGAATCTCAAGGCGCATGCCTATAATCTCAGCTGTTTAGAGACAGAAATGTTAGGATCATGGTTCATGGCCAACCTGAGCAAAAAAATGGGCCCTATTTCAACAAACAAGCCAGGTGTGGTATCATACATCTGTTGTCCCAGCTACACAGGATGCTGAGGTAGGAGGACCATGGCCCAGGGGTGGCTCCAGGCAAAAGCCCAGGACCCTACCTGAAAAACAAACTAAAGCAAAAAAGTCTGGTACACTTAAGTGGCAAGTAGGAGGCCCTGAGTTCAAACCACAGCACCACCAAAATTTTTTTTTTAAATCGAATGTTGAATTCTGTCCACCTAAGGCTGGGTGACAGTGAAGGGCAGTGTATGGTATAGGATGCTTTGGTAACTTGATTGGTGATGAATCACAGTGATCCTTCAAGTGCATTAATACTTTCATGAAATCCTGAAAATTTATTTGTTGTTTTGTTTGTTTCCCTTTTTGATTATAGGATGTAGCCCAGCGGATGCTGGCCACAGGCGAGTGTACTCCTGAGGATCTGTGTTTTTCCCTACAGGTAATGGAATAAAAAGACAGGACAGGGCTAGCAGAGTGGCTCAAGTGGTAGAGTGCCTGCCTAGCAATGAGGCTGTCAGTTCAAACCCCAGTACCACCCCCACCCCCGCAAAAAAAAAAAAAAGCTGGGGTAGAAAGTTGAGGTTGGTTTTGTGTAGTAGAGCAGAACTAAACCAAGATGCTCCTCTTATGTTTTTACCTTGTCTGTCCTCCACAGGAAACTGTGTTTGCAATGCTGGTAGAGATCACAGAGCGAGCCATGGCACATTGTGGCTCCCAGGAGGCCCTCATTGTGGGAGGAGTTGGATGTATGTATCATTAAACATAGTGTTACTCTTTCCTAGTCTTGGCATTGTGCATCTTCTTCCTGTTCTAAATTGCTAAGGGTTTCACTTCTTGTGCTGTATTTCCCAATTCTTGCCCCCAGCCACCTACTTCACTTTCTTAAGTGCACATGAAGTATACAGCTGGTCCATGGGAAGATGGCTTACCCTAAGTTAACTTTTTTCCCTACCTCTTCATAGGTAATGTGAGGCTGCAGGAGATGATGGAGACCATGTGCCAGGAACGCGGAGCCCAACTTTTTGCCACAGATGAGAGGTTAAGGCCCTTTCCCTTTCTTGATTTCTTCTTCCCCCATTGTGATTTTTCTGCCCTTAGATCACAAGTTTCATTATCTCTTTTCCTTCCCAGATTCTGCATTGACAATGGAGCCATGATAGCCCAAGCTGGCTGGGAGATGTTTCAGGCTGGACACAGGACCCCCCTCAGTGATTCTGGGATTACACAGAGGTAAGTGATTTGCTCCTTGGAATGCATGGTAGGAGCAGATATAAAAGTAAGCAGAAAATTAATAGAAAAGAAAGTCCAGGAACATGAGGATAAAGAAGAATAAAAAATGCTAAGGACTAATCTTCTGCCACATTTTTTCTATTTTTCTATAGGTATCGGACAGATGAAGTAGAAGTGACATGGAGGGACTAACAACATGAACAGAATCAGAATAGATAGTTCCCTAAGTGGAGTTCAAAGGACTTTGGGCCTTAATCTCTGCCCTGATGTGGGAATCTTTGCAGTGCTATGGACTGGCAAGGCTGTGGACCCTACATAAAGCTTAGAAAAACAAACACGGGGGAAACTCAAGATGACTCAGCAATAAAACAGTTTTGGTTTTGTATGTTGGTAATTGGGTTTTGTTGTTTTAGGACCAATATAGAGTTAGCACTGGGTAAATTCTTACTGATGGGATCAGTGGATAAGGAGGCCCAGGCTGGCCTTGAACTTACCTCTGGCTGCCAGATAGCTGGGATTACAGGTGTGTACCATCATACTTGGCTCCTCTCCCTCCTTTTCTGTAGAGTCAGTATTTACTGTTCTCTCCTGTCTTCCTATTTTTTCTTTTTCTTTTTTTACAAATAACTGCCCTATTGACCCCATTTTTCCCAACTGCTTCCATTTTTCTGCTCTGCTTTATAGCAAAACTTGATAGAAATGTCTCCAATTCCTTTTTTCTAGTTCTCTGTTAAATCTACTTCACCAAAACTGTTCTTATCATAGTCACAAACATCTTGGTCATATCTAAATCTAGTGGTGCATTCTGCTTCATCTTACAGAGTCGTCAGTAGTATTTGACTGCCCTGAATTATTTTTCTCACCTGGCTTTGGAATATATTCTCTGCTCTGCCTCCTAACTGTGTGGTCTTTGTTTCCATTACTGGATTCTCCTCATCTTCATAATCTTGACTTTCCAGAGGTTAGTCCTCAGACTGCTCTCTGTTCACATGGCCATCTGCCATGGTTTCATCCAGTCTTGTGCATGGAAACCATTTTAATGTGGGTGACTGTCCCAAATATCAAGGTGCCCATTGGCATTTCAAATTTAGCCTATCCAAAATTCAACTTATGTTTTCCCCAACTTACTCTTTCAGTCCTTCTTTATCTCAGTTAATGATAATTCCATTCTCATTCATGTCAAAGCTCCTTGGTATAATCTTTGACACCTTTTTTTTTCATTTTTAGTTCATCAAATCCACCTTCAGAATTTATCTGGAATCCTTACTTTCACTGCTGCCACCCTAAACCAAGCCAGAGTTACTTATCTTCAAGATGATTGCAGAAGCTGGTTTTTCTGTTTCCACCATTGCCCACTTAGCTAAATCTCAACACAGCAGTCAGAGTGAGTAGTGTTAACATGGAAGTCAGATCATGTCAATCATCCGCTCAAAACCCTCTTGTGTGGGCTGGCAGAGTGGCTCAAGTGGCAAGGGCACCTGCCTTGCAAGTGTGAGGCCCTGAGACCAAACCCCAGTGCTGCCACAAAAAAAAAAACACAAAAAAATACCTCTTGTGTTTTCTATCAGGAAAAACAAAAACAAAAACATCCTCACTGGGCACTGGTGGCTCACACCTGTAATCCTAGTTACTCAGGAGGCAGAGATCAGGAGGATCGTGGTCCTAGGCCAACCCAAGGAAATAATTTTTGAGACTCTTATCTTGAAAATATCCAACCCAGAAAAGGATTGGCAGAGTGGCTCAAGCAGTAGAGCACCTGCCTAGCAAGCATGAGGCCCTGAGTTCAAACCCCAGTACCTCCAAAACCAACAACAACAAAAAAAATCTCAGCATCCTTTTAAAGACCTGCAGAACCCCCACAAGGTCTTTGCTGTCTTTCCCCACCTAACCACTTTGATGTCAACTCCTTCCCTCTCCTTCTCAATATTGGGTGTTTTGTTGTCCATAAGGTACTATAGTTGTACTGACTCTCAAGGCCTGTTCACTTGCTGCTCACTGCCTGGAAAGCTCTTGTCCCAGGGAAAGGTCACATTGTATTCTTTGAGTCTTTGCTCATTTTTATCAGTGAAGCTTTTCCAGCAACCCAATTTAAACTGCATTCCTCCAGCATTCCTGTCCCTCTTCTTGATTTAGTTCTCTTTGTAGCATGTAATAAGTTTTATTTATTTATTTATTATTAGAATGTAAACTTCACTGGGCAGGGGTTATCTTGTTTTATTCCTTGCTGTATCTCCCAGAACTTAGAATAGGTCTAGTACATGGTGGGGAATCGGTTTGCTGGGTGAATGATTTGATGGGAAAGTAAACCAAGGATACTCAGAGAACTACAAAGTAACACTTGAACCAAAGACAAAAAGAAATGGGATCATATGAACTTGAAAAAGTATAAATTTCTGAAGTCTTTCTATGTAGAAAGTGGATATAAAGACTTTTTTTTTTCATTAACAAGGAACAGATACATAAATTGGTGGCAAATGCATTGAGAAATGGAGGTTTAAAATTAGAAACTTTGGTGTGAAAGTGAGATAGGAGTAAAAGTTATATTCCTCTCCTTGAATGTATTTGAGAACAGGGGTAATCTCTGTCTCTCCAAGGTAAGTGGGCATATTATTACACATTAGCTTCAGGAATTGATATGCAAAGTTTTATTAATATGAGGTAGAATGGATCTCAGAAGGAGGATCTTCAGCAGCTCCAGTTCCCATCATTTAGTAGGGGAGTTCTTTCTTCGAGAGTCTCGTGCAATAGCCTCCAAGTTTATGAAGCCACGAAACTAAAATCAAGCTAGGGGTGTAGGTCAGTGGTAGAGCACTTGCTTGCCATGTACAAGGTCCTGGGTTTGATGAGCAACACTGAAAAGAACTTATGACTCCTTGAGGCCTGAACTGTAGAGTCATATTTCTGTGTCAGTCTCTTCTTCTAAGGCTCTTACAGTATAGGGTCAGAGTGTCCTGCTGATTTCCACAACTGAAGGCAATAGGGGATGTCAGGCCCATTGACAGCATCTCCAGGCAGGTCATGTTAAGTGCCCAGTACAGGCTAAGGGGGTGGGCACAGGAGGGCTCCTGGTGTGGAAGGCAGTAGGAGAAATGGAGCTGATTCCTCAACTTGTCCCTTTCCCTGGGATCTGTGCTTTTACAGTTCGAAATTTTCCCGCACTCACATGATTATGAGGGCAGCACCCTGAGAATATTGCTACAGTACTTCATGAAGACACGCGTGCCATTCCAGCTGCATGGTTAGGAAGAATGGTGGCGGGGTGAGCTGTCATCGTTGGGTCTCACTGTAGGACAGTTGCCTCACTTGCCACCCTGTTCCTCCATACCTTCTTTTCATTCACCTGCAGGTCCTGCTCTGAGATGCAGCCTGAAGAAGGAGGAGTGTTGAGGAAGGTGGATTTCAGGTCCCTTTCTCTTGCTACTGATGTAAAGCCATCAAGTCTACAAAACTCTTTTGAAAAGCTGCAGAGAGAAAGTGTGTATTAGATTTAGCAGAGAACAGAAAATATTTGCCATATCCTGAAATTTCTGTTCTAAGGAGCTGAGAAACAACAGGCTTTTTTTACTCTTTGTTTTTTCTCTATTTTGCTGCCTCCTCTTGCATTTTGTCCAAACTGATGGCCATAAACACATTCGGATCCAGGTAGAGACCAAAGCTTCTGTTTTCCTGTAGCTGTATTCCCAACAGTGGCCATCTTTTAGCAGATTTCAGCTCCTCTTCCCTCTCTCCCCTTTTGCTCACCAGGTATTGAGTTAAGTTATAACTTTTTTGATAGTTAACTTCTTTTGGTTCTTAGCTGTGAAGGAGGAAGACAGGAAGAGAAGTGTATAGGGTACCAGACTTCATCCTGACTTCTTTTGAGGTTTGCCTGTGAGCTCAGGCAGTATAGTCACATGTTGGAAGCTAAGCTTGAATCTTCTGAGAAGGGAACATATCCTAGAGAAAAACAAGATAAGAACGTTTTTTGTATGTGGTGCAAGGGATCATCAAACTCAGGGCCTTGCATATGCTAGGCAAGTGTTCTGCCACTGGACATTTTGCCTAATTTCCCAGTACATTTTGCTATCCTTCCATCTATGGCAAGTGTCTCATTACCCTTCCTTCCCCTTGCTGTCTTCTGCACTTTAATCCCCTGACCATAACCTTGGGTTTTGTGTCCAGCTCACTCTGCATTTCTCCTGCTCAAGGGGGCTGCTCACAAAAAGTCTTGAAGGACATCAAGTCCATTTTTTCTTGCATGTCAATAAATAGGGGATCAGCATAGTTAGTCCTGTGAAGATAAGAGATGAGACAGGCAGCCTTCCTGACTGCCTTTTCTTGGGGCTGAGAAAAAGAGTTAAGCATAGCCAGGCAGCAGTGATTCACACCTGTAATCCTAGCTACTCACAGACAGATCAGGAGGATCAAGGTTTGAAGATAACCCCAGGCACATAGTTTCTGAGATCCTATCTCAAAAAAACCCGTCACAAAAAGTGCTGGTGGGGTGGCTCAAGGTGAAGGCCCTGAATTCAAATCCCAGTACTGCCAAGAAAAAAGAGAGTTAAGCGTGAAGGCCTGTGAGGTGGGAGGAGGGCACTGGGGTACTTTGTAAATGCAGGACTCCTTTCTCTGTGCAGGACTCCTTTCTCTCTCTCTCTCTCTCTCTCTCTCTCTCTCTCTCTCTCTGTGTGTGTGTGTGTGTGTGTGTGTGTGCTGCTGGGGATGGAACTCAGGGCCTAGCACATGCTAAGCAAACACTCTACCACTGAGCTACATCCCCAGCTGTTGGTTTTTTGAGAGAAGGTCTCACTATATAGTTCAGACTGACCTTGAACTTATGATCCTCTTACCTCCATCTTCCCTAGTTGCGGCGATTATGGGCATGTGCCAGCATATCTGGTGCCTCCTTCTTTTTTTAATCACTTAACTTCTCTTTCCTGTTCTCCTCTGGAGGGAAGTTGGAGTTTCTTAGGGAGCTATAAGAGTCCCTACCTTCATCATCACTGAACCAGTAAACCAGTACACATCCACTGACTGCTGGCCCTGCTTGGACTGGAATGTGGGTTGAGACTTTTGGAGTAAGGATGCTGCCCAAAAAGAGTGGGAAAGAATAAGACAAATTCCTTACCCAGCTGAGTGATTGCTCCTAACTTATACCAAAGAAATACTGCTATACCAGAGGAATAGTATGTAGCTTCTCTCCCCATTGACTAATCTCTCTATGTTCCTGAGTGTCTTTTTCTCTTCCCCACTCTCCAACTCTGTTTCCCCAAAACAGAACCTCTTTAGTACTGGCTTTCTTTCTCTGCCAAGTGTCCATTCCTGTGGCATACAAACACTGTGAATTTACTGGGAATGGTAGGAGTATAACATAAACAATCATTTTGCATCCTTACTTGAAGACACCCCAAGTGTAAACTAGTAAAATATGTTGCATTATTAGAACTGAAGTAATTCCAGAAGCCCAGTTCTAGAATTGGGCCATATCGTCTCTTGACCACACTCCTGGTTCACTCTGCTACTTTGAATCTCTTGATCCAAATTTCTTCCACCTGAATTTAGAAGATACCTAACAGCTTTCCCCATCACCTAATGTATCAGAACTAAACATACAGGTAGAATCTCCAAAGCAGAACTCATTTCTCTCACATCCTAGTTCCTAATTCAGTCTCAGGTTTTACTAACTCTAGATGGGTTCACTTGCCTCCCAGACTGTCTTTTGATGGTCAGTTTCTATACCTCCCACACCTTATTCTCTTCAGCCCAATTTGTTTGACTCACCTTGAACTTCATGTTGGGTGGACACACTTAATCCTCCTGGCATTCTTAAGAGGCAGACACCATAGTTGTAGTCAAAGGCCTCACTTTATGGGGCAGGGTGTAGGCAGGAGAAGGAAATACAGAAGAGCTGAAGGGGACAGAGGCAGTGCTTGGCAGCTGGGGAAAATGGGAAATGTAATAATTATATTTCCTGTTACTCTAGTTCCAGACCAATTCTATGTCCATCTTCTCTTTTTTCATCCCACACTTACTATAGAATCCCTACATAGTCCTCCACAGCACTATAGAATCCCTACATAGTCCTCCACAGCAGATAAACGTACCATCTGTCAATTTTGCTTACATCCCAAGACCAGAAAATTGGGATTAAAGTGACCCAAGTTGAGACCTGAATGGAGAGGCAATGAGGAAAGAAGTGGGGATATAGTACATTGGCCAGGGAGTGATGAGAAGTGATCCCATTTGACAGGATGACCTGCATGAGGCTCTGAGCTCATGCAGAACAAAGTATGGGGGAAAATACAACTGTATAGGAGTGAATCTTCTGGACATTCAGCCAGTTGACATGATTCTCAGACTCTTGACTGGCTTGGGGCTTCTAAAAAGGAGGAAATGGAAATGTAGGATAGGACTGTCCCTCCTTAAAACATCCTGATCTCTCAATGTTCTTCGTGTTCTCTGAACTCACACACTGATCTCTTATTCTTTTCCTACCCCCTTTTTTGAGACCTGCTCTCATTATCTAACCTAGGCTGACCTTGAACTCATGATCTTCCTACTTCTGCCTCCTTGCATGTTGGGATTACAGCTGTGTGCGACCATGCTTGGCTCTCTACTTCCTTTTCATCTCTCTAGCGGAGTCTCCACCGTTAGTGTCTGTTCCCACCTGTCTTATTGAGACCACATTCCCACAAGTCACAGAACTCATGTTCTTGGTGAAGGTGCCCACAAAATCCACCAGGGCTGGATGCTGATTAGGGGCCAATTAGCAATAGGCATTGTGGCTTATGAGAAGAAAGGAAAGTATAATGTTGAGGACAGTGTCAGTTCTTCCCCACCCATGAAGAGATTTTTAGAGAGTATTTTAGGGTGAAACCAAGGATGTTAGAGATTCTTCTCCATCTTATAGTAGATAAGGGAAATTGGGAACTCATTCCTGTGGCTACCTGCTCATGGAGTACCTGCTCCTCAGGGAACTCTACTGTGTGTCTTCTCTTTAATCCTCTAGATTCTGTTCTCTTCTACTTCCTCCACTGCCCTGCCCAGGATTTAGGAAGATGGTTTCCTTCTCTGTCTAGAGCATGGATTGAAAACTCAAAAGTCTGCAGGAAGCAGTCGTGTAACATCAAAGAACAAAGTGGATCAAGTACCAACCTGGAAAACACCCTCCTTGTCCTGTGGGACAGCAGTTACTCAGCTCTAGCTATGTGTCCTGTAGGTTGGGGGCCCAGGATTACCAGATACATGGATCTTAAATGTTGGCACCTTGTTTTTAAAATTGCAAATGCTGTGCAGGTGAACAAAATCCATTTGCAGGCAGGATTCGAAGCACAAGTCACCAGTTATTAACCAGAAGTTCTTGAGATGGTCCTATGTAAAGGCTGAATGAGTAGGATAGTGCTGTAGGATAGGTGTCCTCCTGGACAAAAGAGCCCAGGTTGACATCTGCACAGAGGAAGGGATAGTACAGAATGATTAGAGGTGTGGCATCACTTGTCATGTAAAAGAGGAAATGACAACTTGCTGTTGGTGTTGGTTAGTCTTGCAGGAGTCAGCCTCCTGTGGTATCTCACCTCCGCACTCCCTTACCACCTGCCTGCTCACTCACCAAGTTTCTCATAGAATGCATAGGGCAACAGCAGAAAAGTAAGCAATGCAGCAGTGAGGGCTGCCCACCAAGTGAGGAGAACATGATGAGCAGAGAGTCCAGCAGGGCGAGTCAAGGACTGACCCAGTGGAAGGAAGGGCACCAGCCTGCAGTGGAGAGCAAATGCAGCCCATGTCTTGTCCCAACTGCAGTACCCCCTACTCCTGCACACCAGTGATTGTCTCCTAACTCCCCCAGTAGACCTAGCCCTGGACCTGACTCCAACACCTGTGCCTACTAGCCAGGTGACTGGGAAAAGGAGGCGTGGAAATAGTTGAAGTTGATGAAGGCATATGAGCACAGGGAAAAACTGGAGAGGATGAGGTCAGTGCTGTTCAGTTCAACTTTGGGAGAGATGCAAGGTTAGGAGGTCAGTCTCCAAACTAATGGTCATGGGATCCAGCTCTGGAGAGTCAAGATTTCTGACTTCCTTTCCCATTCTCTCTATTCCTCACTCCTAAATCTCCACTCCACCTCACACAAACCACCACCCACCACCAAGTTAGGAGACATTTTCATCTGAGGACTAGGGAGATAAAAAAGAGGTTTAAGGGTTAGGCCATAGAAGCCAGAGGTAGTCAGTCTGTGGAAGGAATGAGAGGAGAGGTAATTAGTGGAGGTGGGGTAGGTGGTACTCACCAGTATGAATGAAACCTACAGCAATGAGGAAGGTGAGCAGAACCCACAGAGGCTTCTGGTGCTTCCCAGGACCTTTCCTAAAAAGCCAATGACTAGGTATGGTTTATCCTGGCACAACTGCTGTAAGAAGATGTGGCAATTAACCGGGTAGAGTTCCAGGGAGAGGAAGAATGAGAGCCCTCTGCTCCTCTTGAGAGGAGGAAAGTAAGAGTTAAAGAAGCCTACATCCTAAACAGGAGAAAAAGGATAGGAGGAGTAGGAGATGGTAAGGTCCCTGGGAATGTGGGAAGGAGAAGTCGAGGTAGAGGCAGATAGAAGAATAGCAACCTCCCCATACTTTGCCTTGATTTACAGGCAGGCTGAATGTTGCTGTGTGAGCTTGAATTTGTGTGCATGTTGTGTTTGTGTGTGTGGATTGAACACAGGACCTCAACATGTGGATCATCTCTTTAAACAACAGCTAGCCACCATCATATCTAGCTCCCTAAGTTACAGTCTAACTCCTGGATACAGAGAACTGAGCCTTCTTTTGCTTCTCTTCCTGAAAAGATTACACTTTTGAGATGTCCCTGCCTCCTTACATTCTCTTCTTTCTCCCCAAGCCTCTTGCTAAGATACCAACTAACCTGGAAGGTTTGGGGAGCTGAAACAAAGCAGGAATGGGCAGAGAATAGGGTGGCACTGAAGATTCCAGCAGATGTCAGGGGGCTGAAGGAAGACACCATGCTCATGGCCTGAGAAGGGAAGACCAGCAGAAATCAAGGCATTCCTGAAGCAGCGCATTCCACCCACATTTTCACCTGACTTTCCTGGAAGTTGGAGGGCATGCTAAATTTGATCCATATCTTTGGTGGTTTTACCCATTCACGTGAATCCACTTAAGACATCAGTGGGTTTTGAGCATCTGCACTATGCTTGGCAATAGGCTAGTCAGGACAGTCTCTAATCTTCCCTTCTTATTCACTCACCTGGTAGTGATTAGAGAGCCCACTGGGGCAGGGTCCTTGCTCTCAACAACTGCCATACAGGCACTCTGGCCCCGGGCAACTCCCATTTCTCACACCCATGTCAGTCCTATTTCCTGAACCATCTCTGCCTTCTGAGTAGCTAGGATTACAGGCATGAGCCATTGGTGCCAAATTTGATCATCAAAGATCACCATACATTAAAATCACTATTCTTTAAGAGATATGAGTGATGGGGAGAAGTGGTGAAGTAGGGATGGAGAGCTACTTGCCATACAGTTGTGTTTTTTTTGGAAGTTACTGGAGTTTAAACTCAGGGCCTCATGCTTGTTGGGTAGGCACTCTACACTTGAGCCACACCTCCAGTCCATAGCTACTTTTTTTTTTTTTTGTCAGTACTGGAGGTTGAACTCAGGGCCTCATGCTTGCTAGTTAGGGGCTCTAGCACGGAAGCCACTCCAGCAGACTCCATATACTATTTTTATTGTGACTGATGATGCCTCTGGGGCTCAGAGAGATAATCAGGTCCTTACAGACTCACCAGCCTTGACTTTGCCAGTGGTGCAGATGGCTGAGATGGAGAAGGCTACGATAGTAGTGACTGAGGCTGAGAGCAGGATAATGAACTATGCCAGCCCTGGGGTGAGGATGGGAGTTAATCCATTCAGGTCATCACCCCTGAATTTCTTGACTGAAATGTCAAGTTTCCTCCAAGCCAGGGAGTCTGCCACCTGGAGGGTGGCCTATGAGTGGAGGTTTATGAGGGGAGGGCTTCATTGGAGGATGAATGGTGACCCAAACAGCAGATTTCATTCTACCTTCGGGAGTTTGCTGCAGGGCATGGGTCTTACCATGCTGCACCCTGCAGAACTTCAAGAAATGCTTGGCTGTGATAGAGTTGTCCTGGGATCAAGTTGCCAAAGAACTCATAGCAGAGTCCCTCGTTCTTGTCCTTGTAGGCAGGTAGCAGGCTGGCCAGGAGTATGTCCTCGAACTATATCTCTGGTAGGGGCTCAAAATGCCAGCCACACTGGCTTGCTGTGGGGAGACCATGAGCTGAGAGAGGGGCTGTAGAAGCTGTTCACATCATTTCTTCTTTGACCAGTCAGGACAACCATAGGCATGGTAGTTCACAACTGTAATCTCAGCACTCAGGAAGTTGAGGCAGGGGGATCTCTAGTTTAAGGCCAGCCCAGGCTACATAGCAAGACCCTGTCTCAAAGAGAACATAAAAACCATTTGGGGGAGTGCAGCCCATGGGACTACTATCCAAAGGTGGGCTGGGGTACCCAAGCCACAAATGGGGAGACACAGACAACTCCAGAAGCAGAGGGGATGCTGTGCTGGTCAACTCACCTTCCCACTTCACTCTCATGAGAGCTCACTCACCTGAATCATTAGAGACAATCTTGCCGCTCTCTTCCCCCATTTAAGTCCCTTGTCTGGTCACCCTAGCCAGTCTGGATCAGCCTTTTTAAGGCTAGGAAGTCTGCCTGTAGCAGCCTTTGGTCTGTCCTTCCTCCTCTGGAGAGGGGAAGGGAGGCATATGCCTCCCCTCTCCTCCCTAAATCCTTCCCCTGGGATAACACCTGACAGTGCCTTGGAAAGTGATTATACTGTTCTAAGGGTTTCATCCAGGAAGGAAAAAAGGAAGTATAGTTCCCAGTAGAGAAAATGACTGATGTCCTGCCTCAAAAAATGAGAATACCTGTGTGCCCCCAGACATCTAGTCTTCCACTCTGGACCCTGCCACAGGGGAGATCAAATACACATTCCACTTCTCTGGTTCTCATCCCAGTGACCCAGGGTTAGAGCCCTTCTGAAAACACACAGTTGGGGCCTGGAATCTCACCTCAGACACAGAGGAAGCCCTGCTAGGGTGAGTCACCTAGATCTGTAACCCTGATCCCTGTCCCTTACTAAGCCCTTTCTTCTGCCTTCTGTGAACAGGGCTGGGTTGTTTGAACTTCCCATCAGTATTGTTTACTCTAAGGTCCAGCTGTATCATGCACAGAAAAGTCAAACCCAGTACTGACTCAAAACACATGCTTTCCTCTTCTCATCCAGCTCTGCATAGTCTAGACTTTTCAGATCCCCTACACACATCACACACCAGCACACCATCACCACCAGCAGCTGGCTGTGGTGGACACAGCCCTTCTGGCCTGGCTGACTGTACCCAATGCCCATGTCCTGCTTGGCTTCTGAATTACCCTCACTCAGCACCCCCTTGTGACCTACAGATGGAGGGGGGAGGGTCATCCCAGGACGTGCTAGGGGGATTGGGTGTCAGAGTCAGGCACTGGGAGCCCAGTGTTTAGCCCTCCAAGCCAGCTATAATTAGCCAGGTGAGGCCACTGGCTGGGGCACGGTGCACTCCCTCTGCACCAAGCAGTCCCAAGCAGAGTGGGCACTCAAGTGAGAGGGCAAGATAGGAGGGATCTGATCCTGGTACTGGGTCTGCAGGGCACAATACTTCTTGCATGCTTTGCTGCACCTGGTGACCCCCCCACACCCACATAGCTGGTGTTGTATAGCCCATTACTCCAATTTTGGGATGTCACCTTGGGGTGGAGTTAGGAGGGTGGAAAGGGGAGGGACTGAATTCTGAGAGCTGGAGACATGTTCTTCGGGCCTTTCTGGGTGCACCTCATTTGCAGCAATCCAGCACACCTGGGCTATGAGCGTACCCCGGACGGCATACCATCCCTCGGGCATGGAGCATGTCTCTCTTCCCGTCCAGAAGGATGGCCCTGGACTCCTTTTGCCTGCTGGAAGAACCCCGTCCTGGCCTCCCACTCCGGGTGAGGATCCCGGTTTACTTTCATGTCCTCTGGAAGAGCCTGGCCTCAGACCCCAGGTCCCAGGAAACCTTCCCTCTTCAGGTTTGTCCCTAGAGGAAGATAAGGAGGAGCAGGATGAGGACGATGACGATGCGGCAGAACCGGAGGAACTGCGTAGCGAGGAGCATCCGAGCCATTTCTTCGCTGAAGCCCAGCGGCTGCGGGAGCAGGGGCTGTTGCTGGACGAAGAGGTGTCGGTGGGGGGACGAGTGTATGGGGTGCACCGGGTGATCCTGGCCGCGGTCAGCAGCCTCTTCCAAGGCAGGCTGCTGGGCGGCGGAGGTCCGCGGCCCTGCCTCAGACTCGATGTGGCCCCGGGGGGCTGGGAGGCCGTGCTGACCTTTGCCTACGAGGGGGCGCTGGGCCCCGCGTCGCCAAGCGAGGTGCTGGCGGCCGCGGAGGCGCTGGGAGCGCCCCGGGTGAGGGCCGCGGCGCTGCGCGGGTGTGGGGGCCGCGGGAACGCGGGGGAGGAGGCCGGGCGGCGGAGCCGGGCGCAGGAGCTCAGGGACAACCTGCGCAGCATCGAACTTCTGCACCGAGACGGCGTTGGCTGTGACCTGGAGCTGGAGGCCGACGGCTGCCGGCTGCGGGGTGAGGCCTGGGCATCCGTGGCTGCAGTGCACGTGGCTCGGTAGGGCGGGAGCAGCAGGAGGGTGGCCGCTGCTCTGGCGGCGGGGCTGGAGTCTCGCGCATGCCGAGTGAGCGCTCTATTGCTGAGCTAACCCCCAGTCCCTGCAGCGGTCTGATTCCTGCTTCAGCCAGAATTCGCCTAAGGTGACTTTTGGTGCGGGTCCAGCGCCACCGAGAGCTGCGCGTGCGCAGTCAAGTTGTTTTCCAAGCGCACAACAGATTTAAATTGACCCTTCAGGCTCTGGGTTTTTTCCTGCCCACTAACTGGAATTTCCAGCCAACTGGCTGGAGCTAAGAGTACAACCCATGGCAGTAAGAAAACAGAAGTGACCGACTCAAACAGATTAATCAAAGGTTCTTGGCATTTTTCTATTCAGTATACAGCGAAAGGCAAAGAAATCAAGTGGAAAATCCAGGGTATCCTTTCGCCTAAATGCGTTGGACACTATGGCAGACATGGGTTCTTCAGCTAATGAACAAAGGCTAGCGGGAGGCTGGAGGCGAAGTTCAAGTGGTAGAGATCAAGTGAGAGCCCTGGGTTCAGTCGCCAGTACTGGCCGCGGGGCAGGGGATTAAGGCTACCAGGCCATGGCACTTTGAAGTTAACTCTGCCTCCCAGTGTCACCAGGAAAACTAACATTTAGGGAGGTACCAGAAAATGTGGTATCTCTTAATTCTCACCGAAAGCTGGTCAGGTAGATACCATTGTCCCTAGGTGTAGACACGGACATTAAACTTTGAGATGTTAACTTATGACAAGGTAGGGGGCCGAGTATAGCCCTAAAGAAGTAAGCTAGTCCAGTCTGCTTCCACTAAGTCACTAATTGCCTCCTTTGCAGTTATATAAGACTCATGAAACCTGGAAAAGAGAGTTTAAACTTACAAGGGGTTAGTTTAAAAATGATCTAGTTGAGATCATATAACTTTATTGATGAAGAAATCAGACTCTAAGACATGTCCAAAGACACATTGTTACTACTCATTAAGGTAATGACTGACTGGCAACCAAGTCCCTACTGGGACTCCCAGTAGGAAAACTATCTTAAAGGTCTTTACTATAATTTCATAAGTATAAAATTCTCACTAGGGTTTTGAATTTACACATATTTACACATATCACTGTCTGGGAACCCAACTTAAAATTTTAGGGACAGTGAAGGGTAAAAGGGAACACACATGGTTGTAAACCCTTTCACAGCTGGCTCTGAGCTGAGATTGGTTGATGACATGGAAGTTCAAATAGCTTAGCTTGCCTTTCCAGACAGCAGAATGAGAAGCTCACTGATGTTTACTGGTTGGGAAGCACCTGGCCTCTCCCTACTGCTTGAAGAGACAAGGGAAATCCATATCAACATTTGTTGCCCTTGGAGAGAGGCACCATGCCACAACTGGCCAAAGCAGCATGGAAGTTCATAAGCCTGGCTGGGAACTTGGCCTCTGTGACCTGCCTGAGGGGACTTCTAGCAGCATTTTCCCTCTTTTTATTATGAAGCATTTCAGATGCATAGCAAAGTAAAGAGAGTATTATGATGAACACTCAAAACACTCGTCATCCAAAATTAATGATTATTTTACTATATTTGTGTCATCTTGTTAATTTGGGCTGAAGTTCAACATAAACTCACAATGTTACTCTCATAATACTTGGGTATATGTCATTTTAAAAAAGATATTTGCTGGGTGCCTGTTGTTCATGCCTATAATCCTAGCTACTCAGGAGGCAGATATCAGGAGGATTTCAGTTCAAAGCCAGCCTGTGCAAATAGTTTGTGAGATCCAAGCTCCAAAATACCCAACATTAAAAAGGACTGGTGACATGGCTCAAGGTGTAGGCCCTGAGTTCAAACCCCAATACTGAAAAAAAAAAATGACACTTATGCTGGGGATGTGACAGTGGTAGATTGCATGCCTAGTATATGCTAGGCCCTGAGCTCAATCCCCAGCACCACAAATGAAAGCAAGAAGTTTTTTTTTTTTTTCTCATATACCCATACTAGTTTTATCTTGCCCAACAAAATTAACAATAATTCCTTAATATAGTTTAGGTTTTTTGTTTTTTTTGTTTTTGGCAGCACTGGGGTTAGAACTCAGGGCCTCACTCTTGCTAGGCAGGTGCTCTACCAGCCCTAATTCCTTAATATAATTCAACTTGTTCACACTTACATTTTTCCATATCCAAAAAATGTCTTTTAGAACTAGTTTGTTCAACCCAGGAACCAATCAAGGATTACACTGTACTCAGTTATATATCTCTTAAGTGTCTTTTAACCTAGTTCAGTGCTCTCTCCACTTTAAAAAAAATGACTTATTGTAGAAGCAAGATCAGTTATCCTATAAAATTATATATAGGCAGTACGAGGGTTTGCTTGGCAGGTGCTCTACCACTTGAGCCATGCCCCAAACCCTTTTTTTGCTTTAGTTTATTTGTTAGGTAGGGTGTTGAGCCACTCAGCCAGCCCTTGTTAGTGATGGGTTTTTTTCAAGATAGGGTCTTGTGAACTATTTGCCAGGCTGGCTTTGAACTTTGATCCTCCTGATCTCTGCCTCCTGAGTAGCTAGGATTACAGGTGTGAGCTACCCGCACCCATCTCCCTTATGGTTTTGTTTAATTAGTTCCTTTAGTTTCTCAATTTCCTACAAATTTGACTTTAGATCTAAAGGTTTAATGAGATTTAGGTTAAATATTTTGGTCAGAATACTCCATAGGTGATAATGTTAATAGAACATGGGTGTTTGTTTTGTTCCTTTTTTTTTTGGTGGGACTAGGGTTTGAATCCAGGGCTTTGCATTCGCAAAGCAGGTGCTCCACCGCTTCAGTCACACCTCCAGCTCCAATAGGCGTTTGTTAGTAGAACAGTTTCCTTGTCGTGAGGGCCATGAAGATGAGCGAGATAATGTTACCCAAGCATGTCTGTGGCAATGCAGGGCACATGGAAATCCTGACAGACAAGTGCCTGGGGTCTCTGTCCAGACTTACTGAATCAGAATTCCTGCTGGTGGGCTCCTGAAAGCTGTATTTTATCTATCGATCTAGATCTATTGGTCTATCTATCTGTCTATTTGTTAATTCATTGTAGTGCTAGGGATGGAACCCAGGGCCTTGTACAGCTATGTAACCACTCTACCACAGAGCTACATCCCCAGCCCTGAAATCTGCATTTTAATAAGCACCCATACTATTCCATTGCACACCTTTTGACCTGTGGCCTTGGGTGGTTGAACCAAAGTTGGGGATCATGCCAAACAGTCTTGCAGCACTCTGGGTACCTCCTGTGTTCTTCTCCTCTCCTTCAGTGCACCGAACAGCCCTGGCCTGTGGCAGTGAGTTCTTCAGGGCCATGCTTCTGAGTGGAATGAGGGAATCCCAGGGCACTGAGGTGTCTCTACACACCATCTCTACCCAGGACCTGCGACTTCTTGTCTCTTTTGCCTACTCTGGAGTTGTACGAGCACGATGGCCAGGACTACTGAGAGCTGCCCAGGTGGCTCTGCAGTACCAAAGCTCTTCCTGCCTGGATTTGTGTCAGAGAGCCTTGGCACGAAGCCTCAGCCCTGCCCGTTGCCTGGCCCTGTTCCCAATGGCTGAAGCCCCTGGATTGGAGAGGCTGTGGAGCAAAGCCCGTCACTACCTCCTCACCCACCTTCCTGCTGTGACTTTGTGCCCCACTTTCCCTTCTTTGCCAGTGGCCTGTCTGGCTGAGCTGCTGGATAGTGATGAGCTCCATGTGCAGGAAGAGTTTGAGGCCTTTGTGGCTGCACGGTGTTGGCTAGCTGCTAACCTCGAGACCCAGGAATCAGAGGCCAAGGCCCTGTTGCAATGTGTCCGCTTTGGCCGCATGTCTACCCGGGAGCTGCGGAAGGTGCGGGCAGCTGGGTTACCCCCACCCTTGCCGCCAGATATGCTGCATCAGCTGATGGTGGAGTCTGAGGTTCCAGGTCGAGAGCGGAGGAGGGAGCCTGACCACGCACTGGTCGTGATTGGTGGGGATGGGCTCAGACCTGACATGGCCCGAAGACAGCCATCTCGAAAGGTGTGGTGGGCCCAGGCCTTCTGCTGTGGCACGGGACTGGTACGAACTGTGGAGTGGGGGCAGTTGCCTCCCCTGCCTGCCCCAGGACGCTTCCGTCATGGGGCTGCCAGCCTAGTAGGAAGTGAACTCTATGTGTGTGGGGGACAGGATTTCTACAGCCACTCCAACACTCTGGCTTCAACTCTCAGGTATGGTCATCTAAGAGTGGGTACAATGTGGCAGGTCCCAAGGTGGGCAGGTGAGAGAAATTGCTGACCCAGCCACCCACAGGATCCCCAAGTCACTCTTCCCATCTCTTGTCCAACTCTGTCTAGGTGGGACCCCAGCCAAGAGGACTGGGAGGAGGTGGCACCTTTGTGTCAGGCTCGGAGCCTTTTTCCCCTGGTGGCACTGGATGGACAACTTTATGCCCTGGGTGGACAAGGCAGTGGTGTTGCCCTTAACTCTGTGGAGACCTATAATCCGGGGCTCAATGTCTGGAGGTAAGCAGGCAAGGGGTCATCAGGAAGAAACTAGACTTGGAATAGAAAGAGAGTTGAAGCCGGACATGGTGGTACACATCTGTAATCCTAGTACTCAAGGCTGAGACAGCAGAATTGTGAGTTCCAGGCCAGCCTGGGATACACAGTGAGTTGAAGCTGCTAGTTGCCTTTCTTGTGTCCTATTCTCCCTTAGGCCAGCACCTGCACTTCCAGCACCATGTTTTGCCCATGCAGCTGCTATCTCGGAGGGCCGTTTGTATTTGAGCGGTGGCTGTACTGGAACTGGACAATACCTTGCCTCCCTGCTGCACTATGACCCCAAACTTGAGAAGCCAGGGACACTTCTGAGCCCAATGGGGGTGCCTCGGGCTGGCCACGTCATGGCTGCTCTGGGTGGACGGTTGTATGTGGCAGGTGGGCTAGGTGAGACTGGGGACCTGCTGAGCTTTGAGGCCTATGAACCAAGGACTGATAGCTGGACTCACTTGGCACCCCTGCCCTCCCCCCATGTGGGGGCTGCAGGTGCTGTGTTGCAGGGGGAGCTGCTGGTGCTGGGGGGCTATAGCCACCGTACTTATGCCCTCTCCCACCTTATCCATGCCTACAGCCCTGGCTTGGGCAGATGGCTCTGCCTAGGAACTCTGCCCAGGCCACAGGCTGAGATGCCTGCCTGCATCCTGGCACTGCCTACTGTTCAGCACATAGCTTTAGTTCCCACCCTGCACCAAACCAAACCTGCTGGGTGAGGGGGGAGCAGCAGTGTAGGGGGGAGGAAGGGATGAAAATATCACGAGAGAAGGACAGAGATTGTGAAGGGAGAAAGATAAGGCTTTATTCCATTTTATTTTTGCAGTACTAAGGTTTTGAACTCAAGGCCTTATGCTTGCTAGATAGGAGCTCTACCACTTGAGCCATACCTCCAACCCTCCCTGCCCCTCCGTTTTTTAGAGACAGGACCTTGCTGTGTAGACAAGGCTAGCCTGGAGCTTATAATTATCTTGCCTCAGCTTCCTGAGTGCCGAGATTATAGGCATGAGGCACTATGACCAGCTTGAGAAGACTTCATTCTTGATAGCATATTATTTTCACCCAGTGCTTGCACCTTGGAATGCTTTTGTGTATACAGTCTCTACTGCAGAACTCCTGGAGAAAGGGTGTTGAGGAAGGACAAGCAGCTGAATACTTGGGTAAGAGGTGAGAGGAAAGAATTCCACAAAGCTGAGGGATTCTGGGTAGGAGAAGTGCAGCTGGTTGGGGAAAGAGTCAAGAATCTCCAGGAAGGTTTGAGAGTAAAGCTCATTGGTAGAGGGCCTGCTTAGCACACATGAGGTGCATGTGCACGCGTGCACACACACACACGCAGACTCTCATAGCCAAAGCATAGGGGTCATAAAACCTGATTGGAAAAGAAATTCTAATCCATGGATTGAGGAAGAAATGTGAAAAGGACATGAGTTTGAGGGGTATAGGAGGAAGGTGCAGCCCTTCTCTTTCCTAGTATTTACTCTCCTACTCTTCCTTCCTGGCATGCCTAGTCCTCTTGACAATCTTTCACAGGTGATTTTGTAGGCCCAGTCTAATGTTTCCCAGCCCAGACGTCATAGGCCACCTCTTAGAGACTTTTGGTCTCCATCAGAAGCAGAAGTTCCCATCAGGGCCTGGACAGCACAGGGTCTGTGATGCCTGGCAGGCCCTCCCGGATGATGAGGTGGAAGCCTTGTGGTGAGAAAGATGAGGAGGGCTGAGGCCAAGGAGTGATGCCCATGGTGGAAAGGGATGATACGAGGTGAAGTAAGGGTATGTCGGGCTTCTTTTTTTTGTCTGTTTCTTTGTTCTCTTTTATTTTTCCTTGAAGCATTATGTTCATGTGGCATCTAGTTATACTCCATTCATCTTCTTTCTTTGTTTTATTTATGTTTGATGAAATGGAATTTATAGTCTTAGTTTATAGTCCAAGCTTGCCTGGAACTTGAGGTCCTCCTGCCTCAGTGTCTTTAGTGCTGGGATCACAGGCCTGCACCACCATGCCTGGCTCCTTGTGGGCTTTTTTGTTTTGTTTTGTTTTTGTTTCTTGCCCCTTTTCTCCTCCCTCACACAGTTATTAATTGCCTATCATATGTCAGGCACTGTGTGAAACACCAGGATACAAAGTTCAGAGTGCTACTGGTCAGAGGATGAACTTGTAAACTGATACAAGTGTTGTGGTGGACTTAGAAGTATAGATAAAGTTCTATGAGATCCCAGAGAATGGAGGCATGAACTCTGCCTCCATTCTGCTTGAATTGGATTTTTTTATATTTTTTATTTTTGGGGGGTACTGGGGTTCGAACTCAGAGCCTACACCTTGAGCCATTCCACCAACCCTTTTTTGTAATGGCTTTTTTCAAGATAGGGCCTCAAAAACTGTTTGCCTTGGCTGGCTTCGAACCACGATCCTCCTGATCTCTGCCTCCTGAGTAGCTAGGATTACACGTGTGAGCCATTGCTCTTGGCTTGAACTGGATCTTGAAGGCATCCTAGAAACCAGTTTGGGACTGGGGATGTACTTCGGTGGTAGAGTACTTGCCTAGCATGCACAAGGCCCCAGGTTCAATCCCCAGCACTGAGGGGGTAGTGAAACACACACACACACACACACACACACACAACCAGTTCAAGAAAGAGGACAGAAAAGTAGGTGACGGGGTAAGCTCTGCCCTGTTTCTTCATAACAAAGGAAAAGTAAGTATTCCAGAGATTCTTCAGAGAAATTCTGCTGCTATTGCCAGCCTACCCTCTTCTCGATAGTTCTGAAGACAGTGGTAATTGTGTATTCCCTCTCTCCACAGATCTACTAAATCCAAGTCCTCTGGTCTTTCTGTTTCTAGCCGCTGGGTGACTCTGGTACAGGGGTCAGTTCTTTGTGTCGATCAGTTTCCATCACTATTGTTTGTTAAGATGTTCATGCTCCTAGGGGTGATGATGGAGCCTCCCCTGCACCCTTCTTCATTCTGATCTCAGAAGTACTTGACATGTATTTATTGTTTTGAAGTTTCACTATTTTACTAAGGCTTTTTTCCATATCTCTGTTTAAGATAGACAAAAAATATAATTGAAAATAAGGAAGGAAAAGTAGGATATACAAATTAAAAAAAAAAAGGGAAAGACCATTGTACAAGAAAGGGAAGAAGGAAATTGGAAGAGATGAACATTTTCTTTGTGATTTGTACCTAAAGATGGGCTTAAATAAAGATTTCCCAGTGATTAAATCATTTGTGTCTGAGTTTCTTTATCATAAAAAGCATTCAAAAATAAAATGACCTGTTAATTTGATTTCCACCTCTCCTATACTGCTGAAACTACCTCCCCTCACTGTTACCAAACCTGCTTCTACCAAATCTAATGATTGGTGACCATGCGCATTCTCTCATAATTTGCAGGAACTTCCTGACTTGAAAACTGGCTCTTACTCTAAAAATGTCTCTTCCCCTGGTTCCAGAGATAGCACACTCTCCCAGGTGGGCTTTCTCTTAGTTTTCTAAATCAAAGGTGTGGCTCTGTCTCAGGTGGAGCTCACAGCCAAGGGTCCAAAGGTGTGCTCTGGGCTGAAGCAGCAGCAATGTCTGCATAGAAAGATGGATGAATAGAACTGTGGAACGGGGAGATTTTGGACATCATGTAATTCAAGTCCTTCTTTTCATACTGAAGGAAATAAAGACATGCTACATCTGAGTAATTTAGACAATGAAGAGGAAAGCTTGTCATGAGAGTAGTCTCTAGAGGACATATTTATACATAAGGACCTAGAGGCTGGCTAGGAGAAACATCACAGGCCAGGTCTATAGACAGGAGTGTCATAATTACTCTTTCAAGATCATAGACTATTCCAGTCTGTATTAATTAGCTCTATGATCACTGTGGCCAAAGTACCTGACAAACAACCCAAGGGTGCAATGATTTATTTTGTGTTATAATTTCAGAGGGCTTGGTTCTGGTCACTTATTTGGCTCTGTGTTTCTGGGTCTGTACTGAGGCAGTCATCATGGCAGCAGGACTGTGTTGAGGAAGGTGTTCGCTTTGTGGCAAACAGAAAACAGAGGGAGAAAGGACCTAGGCATCAGGCATCAGCTTCAAAGGCAGGCCCTCAGTGACCTACTTCCTCCAACTAGGTCCTACTTCCTAAAGTTTTCATAGCCACCTAAAATAGTGCCACCAGCTGGGTACCAAGTGTTCAACACATGAGCCTGTGGGGAACATCTCATGTTCAAATCGTAACAGATTGCTAGGTGAAAAACTGAATTTATTATAGCTCCTGATAAATATTATGTATGTATTATATGTACACGTGAGTATATCTATGAGATAGATGTTTATGCTTTCATTACTATAGCTATAGGAATAACAGTATAGATTATTATATCAATATATAATAATCCTTGTTTCCTGCCACAATAATGAAAAAAAAGTATAGCCTTAAAAGTACACTGAGTTAGAATCAGAAACTTGGGTGCAAAACTAGGTATGGTAGCACATGCCTGTGATCCCAGCATTCCAGAAGCAGAGGAATCACAAGTTCAAGACCAGCCTGGGCTACATAGTGAGACCCTGTCTCAAAAACACAAAACAGAAACTTAGGTTCATATGGAACCCTCTCAAGCACTTTGAATACCAGTGCCTTAATCTCTAGTATGGGCACAATACCTGAACTGTAAATACCATAGTTTATAAGCTCCAGAGCTTGAGCTCATCCTGAGGACATGTAGACACACTTGGAAAACTGTGTCTTGATAGTCTGTACATCAAGTTCCCAGACCACATCCTTATAGAACAGAGAGCTAAATGATGCCAAAGAAGGTGGTATGGGATGGCTCAGGCAGAGAGACGGCACAAAAGCTTTCAGGAAGAAAGTTTATTAAGCAAGCCGGCAGCAACTCAGTGGACTCGAGTCCAAAGGCTGGGCCCTGAGAACAAAGGGGGCTTTCCTTATATACTATTTATAGCATATTACAGAAATGGGGGATACAGCTTGTCCCATACATGGTTACATATTATTTCATTGGCTATTTTAACCTCTGCACAAGGTGACACTTCTCTGTTCTTCGCCCAGGTGCTACATGACGTTCCTCAAATCCGTTTTTTTTTTTTTTGAGCATGCAGGTAGGAGTTTATTTTTTATTTTTTTATTTTTATTTTTATTTTTATTTTTTTTTTCATTTTTCTTTTATTATTCATATGTGGATACAAGGCTTGGTTTATTTCTCCCCCCTGCCCCCACCCCCTCCCTTACCACCCACTCCACCCCCTCCCGCTCCCCCACTCAATACCCAGCAGAAACTATTTTGCCCTTATCTCTAATTCTGTTGTAGAGAGAGTATAAGCAATAATAGGAAGGAACAAGGGGTTTTGCTGGTTGAGATAAGGATAGCTATACAGGGCATTGACTCACATTGATTTCCTGTGTGTGGGTGTTACCTTCTAGGTTAATTCTTTTTGATCTAACCTTTTCTCTAGTTCCTGGTCCCCTTTTCCTATTGGCCTCAGTTGCTTTAAGGTATCTGCTTTAGTTTCTCTGCATTAAGGGCAACAAATGCTAGCTAGTTTTTTAGGTGTCTTACCTATCCTCACCCCTCCCTTGTGTGCTCTCGCTTTTATCATGTGCTCATAGTCCAATCCCTTGTTGTGTTTGCCCTTGATCTAATGTCCACATATGAGGGAGAACATACGATTTTTGGTCTTTTGAGCCAGGCTAACCTCACTCAGAATGATGTTCTCCAATTCCATCCATTTACCAGCGAATGATAACATTTCGTTCTTCTTCATGGCTGCATAAAATTCCATTGTGTATAGATACCACATTTTCTTAATCCATTCGTCAGTGTGGGGCATCTTGGCTGTTTCCATAACTTGGCTATTGTGAATAGTGCCGCAATAAACATGGATGTGCAGGTGCCTCTGGAGTAACAGTCTTTTGGGTATATCCCCAAGAGTGGTATTGCTGGATCAAATGGTAGATGATGTCCAGCTTTTTAAGTAGCCTCCAAATTTTTTTCCAGAGTGGTTGTACTAGTCTACATTCCACCAACAGTGTAAGAGGGTTCCTTTTTCCCCGCATCCTCGCCAACACCTGTTGTTGGTGGTGTTGCTGATGATGGCTATTCTAACAGGGGTGAGGTGGAATCTTAGTGTGGTTTTAATTTGCATTTCCTTTATTGCTAGAGATGGTGAGCATTTTTTCATGTGTTTTCTGGCCATTTGAATTTCTTCTTTTGAGAAAGTTCTGTTTAGTTCACTGCCCATTTCTTTATTGGTTCATTAGTTTTGGGAGAATTTAGTTTTTTAAGTTCCCTGTATATTCTGGTTATCAGTCCTTTGTCTGATGTATATTGGCAAATATTTTCTCCCACTCTGTGGGTGTTCTCTTCAGTTTAGAGACCATTTCTTTTGATGAACAGAAGCTTTTTAGTTTTATGAGGTCCCATTTATCTATGCTATCTCTTAGTTGCTGTGCTGCTGGGGTTTCATTGAGAAAGTTCTTACCTATACCTACTAACTCCAGAGTATTTCCTACTCTTTTTGTATCAACTTAAGAGTTTGGGGTCTGATATTAAGATCCTTGATCCATTTTGAGTTAATCTTGGTATAGGGTGATATACATGGATCTAGTTTCAGTTTTTTGCAGACTGCTAACCAGTTTTCCCAGCAGTTTTTGTTGAAGAGGCTGCTATTTCTCCATCGTATATTTTTAGCTCCTTTGTCAAAGATAAGTTGCTATAGTTGTGTGGCTTCATATCTGGATCCTCTATTCTGTTCCACTGGTCTTCATGTCTGTTTTTGTGCCAGTACCATGCTGTTTTTATTGTTATTGCTTTGTAATATAGTTTGAAGTCAGGTATTGTGATACCTCCTGCATTGTTCTTTTGACTGAGTATTGCCTTGGCTATTCGTGGCCTCTTGTGTTTCCATATAAATTTAACAGTAGATTTTTCAATCTCTTTAATGAATGTCATTGGAATTTTGATGGGAATTGCATTAAACATGTAGATTACTTTTGGGAGTATAGACATTTTTACTATGTTGATTCTACCAATCCATGAGCATGGGAGATCTCTCCACTTTCTATAGTCTTCCTCAATCTCTTTCTTCAGAAGTGTATAGTTTTCCTTGTAGAGGTCTTTCACATCTTTTGTTAGGTTTACACCTAGGTATTTGATTTTTTTTGAGGCTATTGTAAATGGAATTGTTTTCATACATTCTTTTTCCGTTTGCTCATTGTTAGTGTATAGAAATGCTAATGATTTTTCTATGTTGATTTTAATATCCTGATATGTCTATTCTTAGATGGGTCTTTAAGGTATAGGATCATGTCGTCTGCAAATAGGGATATTTTGACAGTTTCTTTACCTATT